AATCCTTGCTTCAGCAAAGCAATGGAGTCCAGCAAGGATGCTACCTCCGCCGATTCCCTACCTACCGGTACACTTCCTCCCTCCCACACACCACATCATTCTCCCGCGTCCCCACTGAGCCAGCCAACTCGTGAGCAAAGAAATGTATGGTAAATTAGCCTGACAACGAAGCATAAGCACATGCTGGTGCTTGAGGGAGTAGGAAACTAAGAACTGAGGTCGATGCTAAGATTTGACTTATTTTTACTAAGAACAATGACATATTTCAGCTGGAATGCAAGTAGCTTTTGGGGGCTGTAAAAGTATAGAACCACAATGGAAGTAAGTCACTTAATGTTTATTGATATCCTCAGAGCTTTATTATACAATACAGGTACAGTACAGTGTATATACGTATACTGTACTTTATACAGTATGTTTTTTTTCTTGTGGCATTTCAGTGTACAGTACAAGTAAATTCTGTGTATAGTATATGAATCATCCATTAATCACTATAAGTCAGTGAATACCATCACAGAAGCATAAGTTTACAGCAGCACTGGCATTCTGGGCTGGGTTTAGCAAGAACATTAGTCCTTCGAAACATTTTGGGTGATGAACTTTGCAACTAGGACAGTGAACTCAAGAGTCACCAAGGTTCCCTTGGCGAAGCGACTACTGTACTCTTATCAATGTTGAATTACGTCAGAAATTGAAAGAATAATATCAACTTTATAGGTTTGAGTAGAACACCTAATGGAAAAGTAACAGATGCCTTAGGACACCAGTCACAGGAAAACATGGAAAAAAGAGCAATAAACCAGAGCTATCCACTAATGGTGACCATGAGCTACCCCACCATAGAAAGACCAAGTAATATAGTGAAGGAACACCAAGACCAACTCACAGTAGTATATAAAGAAACAGAATAGTGAATGAGGGAAAATTAGTATCTTGGTAACTAGTGTGCCACCAGGTCACTGTGGTGCCATTAGGATACAAGTGATCGTGTATCACGACGTAAACATTGTGAATTTGAACTAAGTGATCAACAGCAAGTGACGAAACTGACACTCATTAAACCGACTCCATGAACTTGTAGGTGTACTCACTAAGTACCCCTCAAGAGCCCAGCTGTATAAGCTGCTCAAATAGTCTCGAAGCTGGCAAATGCTATTTAACATTACAAAATGCAAGACCCTACATGTATAATACAATAACCCTAATCACAAGTATTATTATTATTATTTTTTTTTTTTACAGGGGATTGCCCACCCGGGCACAGGTCACCAACTCACAACGGGGCCTAGGGGGGGTAATAATAATAATAAGAAAACATTGTATATCTACAACACGAAGATGCCGGAAAACCAGCTTTTTGAAGTGAGACATTGTAAGACAATGGAAACACAGAAGAAGGCAGAGCATGCCACAATTTAACTGTGTGAGGAAAGAATGATGTATTATAACAGGTTATTTTAGTGTGACCGACATCCACAAAGAAACGGTGGGCAGCAGAGGCAAGATGAGTGTTATAAGCCCATTGCTTTGCTGATGGTACACAGGGTGCCAAATCCACAGAACATTGCCCATTAAAGTACCTGCAAAAGAGAGAGCATGAAGCAACATTGAAGCGAAGAGAAAGAGAAGAGAGATTATCAACTAAAGGAAGAGAGTTAATAAGGCAAAATGCCTTTGATATCACCCTAACTAACAGTTGGACAGAAGAAGAACCACCCCAGATATGAAAGCAGTACGCCAAGTTATGACGAATGAATCCCTTATAAACTTGACGCAACTGCTCAGGAAAGAAGTAGCTATAGCATCTGTACAGCATTCCCAGTTTTTGGGAGGCAGCTTTAGCAATGTTGATGTGTGGCTTCTATGACATATTAGAGGAAATGGTGAGGCCTAGCATATCTATTTTAGAATTTGGCAAAATGAGTGCATCCTGAAATGTTATTGGTGGTAGATCTTCTATTTTGGAAAGTGTAATTGGCAAATATTCTGTACTGTCTTTTAATCCTATTGAATTGAATTTAAAATTTTTTTTACCTCCCCATTCGGAGATGCTGCACAGATCCACAATGACATATGAAAAAATATCAGCTCTAGAAACAGATCTAGTTTGAGAATTAGGGGGAAGGAAAAATGAGAAGAGTGAAGAGTAGAATCATCAGCATAAGCATGGATAGAATTAGTTGTAGTGTGAAGTAAATCATTGATAAAAAGAAGGAAGAGAGTAGGTGAAAGAAAAGAACCATGTGGAACACCACTATTGGTAGAGAAAGATCAAGAGATCGATCCCTTGACAACAACTACCATGGATCGCTTCTCAATGAAACTAGAAATTAGAAAACAAAGTGAAGGAGTAAAACCCTAAGAGGGAAGTTTAGTAAGTAATGACTTGTGCCATACCCTGTGATATGCTTTGGAGATGTTGAGGGCCACGACAAAAGTTTCTCCATATTCACTAAGAGAGGATGACCAAAGATGGGTGCAGTAGGAGAGCAGATCACTTGTAGATCTCGCCTAGCAAAAACCATACTGGTGATCCGACAAAAGAGAAAAGCTTTCAAGGTGACAGAGAAAATGAGAGTTTAAGATAGTTTTGAAAATCCTAGCGAGGGATGAAGTTAGGGCAATGGGGCGATAGTTAGAAGGATTAGAATGGTCACCCTTCTTCGGGATGTGCTGAACAGGGGCACAATTTCCTGGATATTGCAGATAAGGAGAAAGACCTAGGTAGTATTGTGATAGATTATTCACTGAATATGGTGCAACAAGTGGGCAGCAGTGAGAAAAAAAAGGAAATTGAGGTTTGGGAATTATAAAGCATACCTTCGTATACAAAAATAGGAAAATGCTCCTTCAACTCTAGAAATCTGGATTACAGTACAGGCATGGAAACCCTCCCAGAAGAAAAGATCTACCATCCCTAAAAAAGGTGCAACACAGAGAGACTAAGATGATTCCAGACCTATGTCATCTTGATTATCCAAGTAGAGTGAGGGCCTAAGAACTAACAACTTTTCAGGTAAGGTTCAATAGAACAGGTCTCATTGAAACATTCAAAATCCTGAAAGGGATGGAAAACGTGAACCCGGGACACTTCTTTGTGATGTCACACACCACCATGATGGAACATAAATACAAGCTCACCAAGCTATCATGCAGAACAAATACAGTGATAGAATGAGGAATGATCTACAAGCCCAAGCCGTGAAATCAAGAACAGTACAGTGGGGTATGCTATAACGAACGGATCCTACTACGAATATTCCTATAACGAACGGTTTTACCTATAAAATTGAGAATGCTATAACGAACGCAACTCCTACAACGAACGCGGATGAATACGGGACTATTTCGCCTGGCGCATGAATATTGTTGTACCGCGACCCACAACAAGAGCGTCAGGCGCCATCTTTGTCTCATTGTGTAGCCAGTGCACCACTGTTATTGTTGAAATTTCGTCTTTTGATGTGGAAATTCGCGTTATTTGTATAACTATTTTGTTATACAAGTATACAATTGTAACAATGAGTCGTCCAAAGCGAGTGAGAAAGCTAATAACCCTTGAAACTAAGAAAGAAATTATAAAGAAACGTGAGAATGGAAGAAGCATTGCGAAACTTAGTGATGAATATGGGATGGCTAAATCGACTATATGTACGATTTTGAAGAATAAAGAGGAGTTAAAAACTGTGCAAGTGGCTAAGGGAATCTTTAGACTTAGCAAAGCAAGGTGTAATGTGATTGAAGAGATGGAAAATTTACTCTTAGTGTGGATATAGGAGAAAGAAATGGCAGGTGGTAACATTAGTGAAGCTATAATTTGTGAGAAGGCTAAACAATTGTTTGAGGACCTTAAAGCCAAGACTCCCAGTGGAAGTGATAGTGCTGTGCCAGTGTTTAGGGGTACCTGCATGCTGAATAACACTAAGATAAGATAAAGTACCTTATTTTTTACATTTTCCACAGAATTTTTTCAGTGTTAAGTGGTTGTATTTGGGGGCCTGGAACGGATTAAGCCTATAACGAACGAGGTTCTGGAACCAATTACGTTCGTTATAGCATACCCCACTGTATTAGGCTTCAAAATAGTCCTCAACAAAATTATCAAGAACACTGGAGGGATCTCACACTGCCTCCTTCTTTAGGCATGGCAACCTCTAGTGGATGGCCCATTAAGTAAATAAGGTATAGGTACACCACCGATTATCTGGCACCCTCGGTTCCAAAGCCTTGCCGGATTATCTGTGTTGCCGGACCAACCGAGGTCAAGAAATAATAATTCAACAATACACCTCTGACCCACTAATTATACGTCTTGTGTGTCTCTAAAGCACCATGGACTGCTAGAAATTTAAATTAAACAAATATTAAATGTAAATTAAATGTGAAAAAGTCATAATTTTGAGCAACATTACTGTACACACTTTGTACTCAAATGTACTACACTAGACTAATTTTTTTATATCTTGTGCAAACTATGTGATGTTTATAGTCAAATTAATCACTATCTTACAAAGATTGCAGCAATGCAAGATATATTCTGCTAGGTCTAGTCAGCTACATTTTATAAGATAGAAACTTTAAGCCTAAAACTAGCTTCACCCTAGCTGGGAGAGAGGAAAGTTAAGTTCCCTCTCGGAATTTTGTCCGGACTAAAGGAGGTGCCGGACCATCAGTTCCCGGAGAATCGGTGGTGTACCTGTACTACACTACTAGTGACGAAATACACAACTTACCCTGCACAGTCATGGTTACTATTAATATTTCCAGGTACAGTATTCATCATTTCACCACTTACCAGCTTACTACGGGCAGTTGGTGTGTTCTTTGTCACAGTACATTTGATGTTATGCACTTTTTTATCCAGGATTCTTTTCTTATTACCACATTATGAATATCACAATCTTGACCTACCTATCTACACAGCATCAAGCAACAGCCCCTACACAAAAGATCAATATTACACCTCACTACACCTGACAATATAGTAAATAATTTCTCACCAATATGGGTCCACAGCCCTCTTCCAGGTATGATGATGAAGGCTTGAAAAAAAGCATAGGCTTTATTGGGACAGCATTTCCAAGCTCTGCACAGTGATCCCTGAAATTAATACAATATCATTATCATTTATCTTGAAAATAAAAAATTCTCTTACTTACCATCATAATGAAGCAGATTAAACAAGGATATAATATTTCAGGTAATACTTGATGACTATAGCACCAACTTGAGGAAACTTCTCCATATATTCTGCTAGCCAAGGAGGTGAATCTAGAAATGTCGAGTACTATAAGGTTTTATGCTGGAAATGATATGTACTGGTTGTGAGGACTCGGAACTGTAGGATACTAATTTGCATATACAGTACCTATTGAGCATTTTGCATAATTGACCTAATTATCATATTAATTAGGCCAGATCACTAAATCAAGAATATCTTCCTTAGTAAGCCACATAGAGAATTCGTTTTGATGTCTAGACCGAAGGAATCTGTCTAACATAGTTACAGGCTCATACCATGCTTTAAACCACATGAAATCCAATATGGCCACCTTGCATAATCAGAAAATAAAAAGAACCCTTGTTATGTTGATTATAGCACTATTGTTTTCATTATGGTACTCATGTTGTGTGTGTAAGTAGTACTACAAGTGTCATTTACCCTTCTTTGTGTCAGATCATAGACAATGGATCATCGCCAGTACTACAAGTGTCATTTACCCTTCTTTGTTTCAGATCGTAGATAATAGATCATAGCCAGTGCCTCTTCGCTCCCTGTTTCGAAAAAAGGACGCAATGGAAGAAATGCGGGGTTGCGGGAATACGGAAGCTCATCCGCAGAAGTCAAAAGCATGACAATGCAACCCATGTACAACTTGACTCTATACTTGCATTAGACAGTGATAACGCTGCAGAGTCATGTCACAAATCATGTTATAGCTCGTACACCTCGATGTCAAGGGATGTATCAGGCAGCAGGAAGAGAAAATCTTGTGGTTTGCCACATGGTGATGAGCCTCCTGAAAGAGTTAGTCGTTCAAAAGTGTGTGAATTTGTACTCAAAAGAGATTGTCTGTTTTGTGACGAGAGATGTGTACCAAAAGATTAAAAAAAATCCCCGACGATGGGTTAGGGACCCAAATCCAAGTCGAAGTGGTCGTAAGTCGAAAATGCGAAGATAATACATAGAAAATCTAAAATGGGTGTCTCTTTTTCTTCTCAGCTCCACAAAACTTTCACTTTTAAGCTTGCCAGCCATTTTAAAGGGAATTACAAACGAAAATTTTGTCAGTACACAGCGCAATCACGAACGTTGGGACTCGAAAATACGTAATTTGAAATAAATTTGGTACGACTGGGGCGGTCGTATGTCCGGGCGGTCGTAAGTCGGGGAGTAGCTGTACTGTATTTCGCTCTTGAAGTTGACATGTCAGAAGAAATTCCTGACAATGTCAGCCACTCCGTAGAACAAGTTCGTTATACCGGAAGAAGTACCAGCGAGGAGCCCCAAATTATATACATACTGTACACTAACTGATTTGTTTACAAAAAGTTGGAGCTGGAAAATCAATTTGTTTTTATGCATGTCTATATTTTGTTGACTTATGACCGTTTTAAATGTTTACATCGCCCAGTTTATAAATTGAAACTACCAAATCTATTAGCCTGAAATCTGTAAATTGCAATAAAGTTATTTAAACCACATAGTGTGAAATATGTACTTGTAGTGCAATGTTTGTGTGATGGAATAACATACTTATGTAATGAGATGCAACCATTTTAAAGCCTGCATTACATTTCCCTATTTCACTGCACTTTCCTCCAAGATTTACATAATCTTTCTTTTTTTTATCATATATAAAGCTAAAATTCATGGTATATATACTAATAGGAAAAAGTGTCTCTCGCGGTAAGATCTCTAACACATGAATCCTCCGGTGGAGTGATGCCAATAAACAGGGCGACATTAAAACTATTGAAAGAGAAACATCCCCCTGCAAGTGAAGATGAAGGCATCAGGTTACAGGGTGACTATATCCCACCAAATGTTGTCCTGTTCGAGAAAATAACAGGAGAGATGGTGTGGAAAAAGGCACTGAAGACTCGAGGAGGAGCCGGCCCTTCAGGTCTGGATGCAAACGGTTGGAGAGTCATCCTCAGCACTAACAAGTTTGGCCCTGTAGCAAGCGAACTCTGCATTGCCATTGCCACCCTTGCAAGAAAGCTTGCATCCTCTTGCTGCCATCACCTCCAGGCTCTGACGGCCTGCCGCCTTATTCCTCTGGAAAAGAATCCAGGATGTAGACCTATAGGGGTGGGGGAAGTGCTGAGGCGGATCATCGGAAAGTGTATAATGGAGGTGGTAAAGGATGATGTCAGGGCAGCAGCAGGGAACCTACAAGTGTGTGCTGGCCACCAGGCTGGTGGGGAGGCGGCCATTCACGCCATGAGATTGATATTTGAGCAGCGTGATTGTGAGGCCGTTCTTCTGGTGGATGCCTCAAACGCATTCAACATACTTAACCGCAAGGCTGCACTGCACAACATCAAGATCAAGTGTCCTAGCTTTGCGATGTATGTTGAAAATTCGTATAGGAATCCTTCAGACCTCTACATAGTAAACAACAAGGCTCTCCGAGGTGATACCATCCTACAGTCGACCGAGGGAACAACACAGGGGGACCCCGTTGCAATGGCAATGTATGCAATAGGCCTATCAGTGCTCCAACAAGAAATAAAGTATGAAACAACTGGGGTCAAACAAGTGGCATATGCTGATGACCTCACAGGAGCAGGAAAAGTGGAGGACATCAAAAAGTGGTGGGACCTGGTAACATCGCGAGGTCCACATATAGGGTACCACCCTAACGCCAGCAAATCCTTCCTCATCGTGAAGCCAGATCATTATGATCGGGCTGTGGAGGTTTTCGGCGAAAGTGAGATTAAAATAACTAAGGACGGCCAAAGACATCTAGGCGCGGTAATTGGCACTACGGACTTCAAGACCCAGTACGTAGGGGGAAAAGTGAATGAGTGGGTGAGCGAAATCCATGCTCTATCGGAGATTGCTAACACAGAGCCACATGCGGCCTTTGCAGCATTCACACATGGAGTCAAGCATCGTTGGAACTACCTGATGCGTACCATCCCTGAGATCCGACCTCTTCTCCACCCTTTGGAAGAAGCAGTCAGTGTCAAGTTCATTCCCAAACTAGTGAAACACCACGACTTAACCCTAGCAGAAAGAACACTTCTTGCACTTCCACCAAGACTGGGAGGGATGGGACTAACTAATCCAGAGGAGATTGCTGACTCTGAACATCAAAATTCACTTAAGCTCACGGCAGCCCTCACTGACCACATAATCGCCCAGAATGCAACAGGGGAAGTGGACACCAGCGAAGTTAATAAGATCCGTAGGTCCATTACAACAGATCGGCAGAACTGCCAAAATGACATGTTGCAGCAACTATTGCTGCTGGTTCCAGAAAATTTGACAAAAAAAGTAGCTATAGCGCAGGAGGTGGGCGCCTCGAACTGGCTAACTACGTTACCGATAAGGGCAAATGGTTTCAGCCTTAACAAACAAGAATTTACAGATGCCATTGCTCTAAGGTACGGTTGGCCAGTAGATGGTTTGCCCTCCCAATGCGTGTGTGGCTATTCCTATGATGGCGATCACGCCATGGTTTGCAAGAAGGGGGGCTTCATATGCATGAGGCATGACGAGGTAAGGGATCTCACAGCAAATATGTTGAAGGAAATCTGTCGGGACGTCATGGTAGAACCGACCCTCCTTCCACTGGATGGCGAGATCTTCCAACACAGGACTTCAAACACATCTAACGAAGCCCGTGTGGACGTCAGTGCTCGAGGATTCTGGACGCGGGGACAGCGAGCTTTCTTCTACATCAGGATTTTTGATCCCATGGCCGTTTGTCACCGTAACCTAGCTCTCGATGCTGCGCATAGGAGGAACGAGAACGACAAGAGAAGGGCATATGGGGAGAGAATTCAAAATGTTGATCAAGGCAGCTTCACTCCTCTAGTGTTCACAACCTCTGGTGGGATGGGCCCAAGTGCAAGATGTTTTTACGCCAGACTCGCGGAGCTGATCTCCGAACAGAAGCAGCAGCCCAGAAGTTATGTCACAGCCTGGATGAGATGTCGACTGTCCTTCTCTCTCCTTCGGTCGGCTTTGCTCTGCCTCAGGGGAACGAGAGCTTCTGCCCCTACTCCGACAACTGCTGCAGATATTGACTATGAGGCTACAGTCACTGAATGCCGCATGGATCTGCGGCTCAACTAATTTAACACAGATAGGATAGTTTCTTATGTATTAGGATATTTAATATTAAGGTAAATAAATGGTGGCGAAGGTGTGGCTATTGGGGGAGGCTGGAGGCCACGTTAAAAAAAATAGGTATGGATTATCTCTTGAATTTGGTGTAAGTAATCTTGGGTACGACTGATCTCGTGATTTGGGTACGAGTTGACTTTTTTGGGTACGAATTGACCCTAACCCCCAGACCACAGCCTACCGTTACCTCAACCACCGACGACTCGCTCTTGCCCTCGCCTCAGTTGCCTCTCCTCAACCCTCCCCTACTCCATCATTGTCAAGCAGAAGTTGCCAGTTATCAGATAAGCAACTGTTTACTATTGGTATGTTTTATCAAGTAATATATTAAAATCTGTTTTTACTTTTTAGCAGGACTAAGCTGTGTACCACCCCTGACTGCAATAGAAGAGGCAATGGCTGGTTAAATTAGTGATGTTGCCATTCAGGGATGTTTGTTTAGAAGAAGAGTACAGGTTATTTATTTTCCAATTGTAGCCTCGGAGGTGGAAGGTTAGGTTAGCCAGTTGCGAGCATGTTGAAGTCAACTCATTGGTACAAATGCATCGGAAGGAATTACCATATAAATTTACTGTTAATTTAGGTTAGGTTAGATTATGTGCAGGAGGTAGCAATAAATGCCTTACAAGAACTTGAGTAGATGGCCTCGGCAAGGTTTGTTTCATCTCCTTGTATTGCATTAAATTCAAATATGTAGCAATTATTGTCAATTTTTATTGTTTACTTTTATTTTTTTACTTGCAATTGATATTTTAGTCATATACAGTACAGTAATGAGAATCTTGGGGTAGTTACAGTGTTTCCTTTATCAATTATTATCTGCTACTCCAAAATGCATATTTTTGACATTTTTTCTGTTGGTTTTTGATGTGTTATGAACGAATTTGACCTTCATTTCTGAAGCAAATCAATAGTTTCTGAGATACCCCTCCCATCCCATAACCTAGAGATTAGCTATTAAAAAACATGGTAAAAAGTGCTCAAAACACATCAAAATCCGTCGGAAAAACAATCTTGGGTTATTATTCGGTATGGAACTTCTTCAAATCGCAGAGAAGCACTTGCTTTTAGACAATTTCTACCTCATATATACATTCCTCAAACCTTGAAGCCTCTTGGAAATAAGTTTCTTTCAGTAAAATCGCACAAGTGTGGAACACCTAAGAAATTCTATCAATAAATCTCCATCCGCCATTTCTTGTACCACTGCGAGCTGTCTGGAGCCGATAGGCGTGCAGCAGGGGTAAGGTGAGGTTAGGTTAAGGTAGGTTAATTTAGTGAAAGTTAGGGGTCTAGATGTTTGGTTTCTGATGCACAGTATTTGGATGTACAGTATTTTGTTCAGATCTCGCCTTCGTTTTTGATGGAAAATAGCCGTTTTTGATCAAGGATGACTTGCATCCAATTTATTTTTTTAAATGATGCATTTCCCATGGAAATGAAGGTCAGATCTGAGCAAAACACATCAAAATGCATCAGAATTCAAACATCTCGTGAAAAAATTCGAGGGTGTGCTAAAACGAATAATTACCCAATTTTGAATCTAATATTACCCAAACCAAACCTAACCTAACCTGGGGGCTCCACAGTCATTCGATGTTCTGGGCGAGTCCCGCCACGTATAAACTTAAATAATAAGGTAAAATTAAAATTTCCGTCATGCACCTAACCTCAACTTAAAATCCAAAAGGTCAAATTTGCTGAATGACGAAAACGATAATAATACCCATAATAAAATGTTAAATGTCTCTGAAACGAAATTTGCGCCAGAAAAGCCATTGAAGAAAATTGTCTTAGAATTGTCAAAACTACTGATTGCAACTGTATAATTCCCGAGAATCGTTTAGTGGCAAGTGAAATTCCCCCAAAACATGTGGAAAATGAACGAAATCGAGCAACTTCGGATGTTAGCCGTCTGCTCCACCATTACCAGCCTGTCTTTACAGCTTCAAGTTCAGAAAACCTTTACTGCAATACCAAGTCACCATGATGAACCGCAACCACACATCATCCCTTCCACTTTCTTTTTACTTTTATGACATTTACCTGTAGTTCCTGCCGACGGCCACAATATTTCTTCCCCACTGAACAAACTTAGTGAAGTTGTGACCTGCCTGGCCTGCCATTCTCACGGAAAATGCGAAAAAGTACAATAATGTCGCTCCAGTCCACACACCGGGTGGTCACCTTGTTGACGTTATCAGCTGTGGCCGATAAGCAAGGAAAATATATAGGATGAACCATGTCTTTGATGCCTCTGACTGGATCGCCATCTCGTGGCCATTCGTACTTAACACAGAAAATGACTATTCTTTCTTTTTTAAAGGATAACTATGATATCGAGGCCGAAATAGCCGAAACGCGAAGGGGCCAGTAATCCCTAAACAAACAACTATGATTTATCACCTCTAATGTACAAGCGTTTATAACGCAGAACACAATATGTGTCAATGACTATCAATATTTTTCTGAAGAATTATTTCTTGTGCATTAATTATTACGTATACAGGTACATTGATACTGTTGTAGGGGTATCGAGATATTAATGTTGTCTAGCACTCAGGATGGAAGGAAACTCTAATGTGGTTTTCTTGTATAATATATAAGTTATATGAAGACAGTCTGGTGCTGGAGATGCCGTGTGGTGGGGAGCTGCTCAGTAGAAGACGTTCGGTGAGTAGCGTGTTGAAGGAGGTTGATGTGCAGGAGCTTCGTTAGAGAAGGTGTTGCCTGTTGCTGGCCTCCTGGTTGAATGAAATGTTAACAGCTAGGAGCTTGCTGGAGGAGATGTTGCTTGTTCAGGAAAATGGGCAGAATGAATCTCAATGGAGAGACAGAGCTTATATACCCAGCAGCTAACCCATGATTCTCTATAGTCATGTTGGGAAAACCAGTAGCAGGTGATGGATGCATTGCTAAGATCTGGTAACATCTGGGACAACTCTACAAGCTTGGATTTGCAAGGGGGAGCCTGTGGAATCTGAGACGTCACCTGTATTTAGGGAGTGACAGTTTGGCAAAGTTTTCAAAATCTAATTGCTTGGGTTGGATTATTTGTCTATCGGCCACGCTAATTCCGAATATGTTTGAGTTTTTTACATCATTGCATTAGAAGGTTTGTGGATACTTTTGGGTTTGGCATGAAAAACGCAAAAAAACTGTAAATAATAAAGGGACTGGCAATGTGGCACAACCTGTTAAAATCAAGTTATTGAATTGGATTATTCGACTACTGTGTACACTGGTTCATAATATGCTATTGTTTTACAACCACCTGGAAGGGTCCATCGTAGGGGCATTGTAATGGGTTGCGGTGAACATCATGCCTGACGAAAACATACTCGGCTGTGAGTAGTGCAGGAGGGATGTGTTCAGGGCGCCGAGTAGGCTGGCGTGGAGCAGTAGCTCTGAATGCAGAAACTGCTTGTCGTAGCTTTTGGAGTAAGTCGTGACGAACGGCTGGAGTGGCTTGGTTGGGATCAGGAGGGAGTGAGAAATCCCCGGGTAGCCGAAGGGGCTCGCCTAGTGTCAGATCTGCTGGACTACAGTCCATATCCTCCTTGTGTGACGCACGGATGCCGAGGAGCACTAAGGGAAGCGCATCAGTCCAGCTGTAAGGGTCGTGCTGTGCCTTGAGTGCGTCCTTCAGCTGCCGGTGAAAACGTTCTACCATGCCGTTGGCTTGAGGGTGGTATGCTGTAGTGCGTTGTCTAGACGTGCCGAGGAACTGTAGGAGGTGCTGCCAGAGTTGTAACTCAAACTGTACTCCTCGGTCAGTGATTATGGTTGCTGGGGGGCCAAAACGGGAAACCCAACCGGACATGAAGGCGCGGACAGTAGTCTCTGCTGTAGCGTTGGGCATGGGAATTGCTTCTGTCCACCTGGTGAAACGGTCGATGCAGGTGAAGATGTAGGTGCTACCGTAGGATGATGGTAGAGGTCCCACGATGTCGAGGTGTACTACTTGAAAACGTCCTTTGGGAATAGGAAAGGCTTGTAAGGGGGCCCGTATGTGATGATGTATTTTGGAGGACTGGCAGGCCAGGCACTGGGCAGCCCATTTCTTAGTATCAGACTTGATGCCGGGCCAGACGACACGTTGCGTGAGGAGGCGCTGGGAGGCCAGCACACCCGGGTGGCTGAGACCATGGATGCGGTCAAAAACAGCGCGGCGGTGGACGTGAGGCACGAACGGTCTAGGCTGTCCACAGGATACGTCGCACCACAATTTTATCTTTGTGCCAGGAACAGGGAGTTCTTGGAGTGTGAGGCCTGAGGGGGATGTCTTGTATGCTGCCAGGTCTTCGTCTTTCTCTTGAGCCGCGGCTAGCTGCCCATAATCAATGGGTGGAGATGAGGGAAGAATGGTGGATATACAACGAGAGAGGGCGTCGGCGATCTCGTTGTGGCTGCCTTTAATGTGTTGGACGTCGCTGGAGAACTCCGAGATGTAAGCCAAGTGGCGCAGGACACGAGGTGTATGTGACTGGGAAGCTGAAGCGAAGGCGTGGACGAGGGGCTTGTGATCAGTGAAGATGGTGAACTGACGGGCCTCGAGGAAGTGTTGGAAATGTCTGACAGCCAAGTATATGGCCAGGAGTTCTCGATCAAAAGCGCTGTACTTGAGGTGTGGTGGTTGAAGCCGTTGTGAGAAGAAAGCAACGGGCATGAAAATTCCGTTGATCTCCTGCTGTAAGACGGCGCCCACTGCAGTAGAAGAAGCGTCTGTTGTGAGAGTGGTCCGGGCGTTAGGTGCGGGGTGGGCCAGGAGGGTGAGGCGTGTGATGTGCTGTTTGATAGTGGTGAATGCCGTAGTAGCCTCTTGAGTCCACATGAGAGACTTGTGAGACTTCTTTGGGCGTCCCTTGAGAAGGTCGTGTAGGGGGGCTAGGACGGTGGCAGCTTTGTCAATGAAGCGGTGGTAGTAGTTGACTAAACCCAGGAACTCCCGGAGTTTCTTCGCCGTTTCAGGTTTGGGGAACTCCCTAATCGCGGTTATCTTCTGTGGTAGGGGTTGTATGCCACTGGGCGAGACTCTGTGACCGAGGAAATCGATGGCCGAGGTTCCAAAGACGCACTTAGCAGGATGAACTTTCATGTTGTTGTTCTGCAGGCGTTGGAGAAGGAGTTGTAGGTGGTGGTGGTGCTCGGCAGGCGTCGAAGATGCGACGAGGATGTCGTCAATGTAGACGGTGACAAAATCGAGGTCGCGAAGCATATGGTCCATGAACCTCTGGAAAGTCTGTGCTGCATTGCGTAAGCCAAAACTCATGAAAGTGTACTCGAAGAGTCCGAACGGAGTGGTGATGGCTGTCTTCTGGGTATCTGCCGGCGCTACTGGGATCTGGTGGAAGGCACGCTCCAAGTCGATCTTCGAGAAGATAGTCTTGCCATGAAGTTTGTGGTGAAAGTCCTGGACATGCGGAATAGGGTACCTGTCAGGTTTGGTGACGAGATTCAGGGCTCTGTAGTCGCCACACACCCTCCACTCGCCGGGTGTTCGCTTAGGAACCATGTGAAGAGGCGATGCCCAGGGACTCCTTGAAGGGCGAATGATGCCGTCTTGCAGTAGTTTGTTGAATTCTGCTTTGGCTGTGTACAGGAGCTCAGGGCGCAGGCGGCGAGGGCGTGAAAAGACTGGTGGTCCTTTGGTTTCGATGTGGTGGAAAATTCCCGACGTAGGTGGTGGGGGTAGGGAGACTCGGGGTGAGAAAAGCTCCTTGAATTCGTCGAGCAGGGAGGAGAACTCGTTGGAAGGCGCAAGACAGGTGATAGCGTCCGTGTGTCTGGCACGAGAACCCTGGATCTTGCGTGCTGTAGGCTCATGAATGAGGCATAGATGACTTGGTTTGACGCCGAGCTTGTGGAAGGTGAGGAAGTCGAAACCAAGGATGGGTTGAGACACGTCTGCTATCACGAATAACCAACGCAGAGTCTTGGGCAGACCGAGGTCTAAGGCGAGGGTGCGTACGCCGTAGGAGGCGATGGAGGTACCGTTGGCAGCGAACAGGTCATACGAGGGTTGCTTTGACTTGTCTCGTAGTGAGGGAGGGATGAGGCTGACCGATGAACCGGTGTCGATGAGGAACTTCTTGCCGGAGGTGCGGTCGGTGACGCGCAGTAATGAGACGCCTGGAGGGACGGAGGCTGAGGCGTCTACCAGCCTCCGGTGTTGCCGTTTCCCGAATAGGTGCAATAGGGCTCACAGTTTCGAGCATAGCGGCCGAAAGTCTGGTGATACCAGCAGAGGGTAAATTTGTTGTGCTGGGGGTTGGCTGCTGTGTGTCGGAACTTGTAGGGCGTAGTGTGTGAGTCAGGAACCGGCGCAGCAGCGGGTATGGAGGAGCAGAACTGCTCAATGGTGTCCATCCTGCGGTTCAAAATTTGCAACAGGTCCTTGATGTCTTGTGAGGTATTGCTCGGCTGAGGGGTGTTGACCCGGCTTACAAGTTCGATGGTAGGTACTGGTGTGACCGTGGCGGCAAGGGGTGCAGCAGCGCACTCGTTAAAAATTCTATCTGCCGCGGTTGCATATAGTTCCGGTGTCGTAGAGTAATCTACTGCGGACAGGATGTTGCGTACTTCTGTGGGTAGCTTTTGTGCGTGAAGCTGGCGCAGGATAGAGTCGGGGAGTCTGTCTGTGTGACGGGAGTTCAGCCGACACATCTCCTCCCAGAGACGTCCCGGGGTTGAGTTCCCGAGGGAGGTAGAGGATAGATCTTGCAGGAGATTGGGGCTGGTCTGTTGATAACACGTCTTCAAGGCAGCCCGCAGGGTAGCGAATTTGTTGTGATCTGGAGGGTTGGAAATGGTTTGTGAGACCCGCGTGGCCACTTCCGTGGGTAAGGCACAAAGCAGGGCGCAATACTTTTGTCCGTCGGTAGCTCGTGAACCGGCGAGGGCTGCTTCCACATGGTCAAGCCAGTCCTCGACGTTGTGGTTGAAAATCGGCAGAGAGATCCGTCCGTCCTCCATCCTGTGTGAGTGCTTATCTCCGGGAGTCACCATTGTAGAGGTATCAAGATATTAATGTTGTCTAGCACTCAGGATGGAAGGAAACTCTAATGTGGTTTTCTTGTATAATATATAAGTTATATGAAGACAGTCTGGTGCTGGAGATGCCGTGTGGTGGGGAGCTGCTCAGTAGAAGACGTTCGGTGAGTAGCGTGTTGAAGGAGGTTGATGTGCAGGAGCTTCGTTAGGGAAGATGTTGCCTGTTGCTGGCCTCCTGG